AAATTCATCTAATTCTGTTCACCAGCAAAATCCAAATGATTCGTCGAGACAATTTCACCCGAATTCTTCAGCAAATATTTTATTTTCATCAATTCAAGCTGGAGTTCACAATCGAGTGAAAACAACAACGACGAGAACTGAAGATGGAAAATTTCTGACAACGATTTCAACTGTTCAAGATAATCTCAATCAGAGAAATGAAAATCAATGCAATAATGAACACAAAGAGACAAATCTGTTCTTTGGTCAATCATCAACTTGTTCGTTGAAGAGAAATTTTCAAAATTTTGCCAATTCAAATACAGATTGTTTGACAAGTTTAACGAAAAAGGTTTTACAAATCGAAAATGATCGACAACTCAATTGAAGTGATAATCAGTTCATTTGTCTTCGAAAATAAAGAGTGTATTCGATGTGACTTCTGTTCCTTTTTTTGTCTCATGTTCAATTCAGTTTGTTTTGTTCATTAATTGATAATCTATGTTAGATTTTAATTTGGAATAAAAAAGAAGAAGTTTCAATCTTGATCTTTTCCATATTCACTTTCGTGCTGCCAACATCTTCGCGATTCTTGTGTCTGAATGTGATAAAAAAGAAATGAATTCCTGCATTTCATCTTATTATGTGAGAATGATTGATTTATTCAGGGAATACTGGTTGTTCTCTGTTACGGTCATTCAGTTCTTCAAATAAATGCTTCAAGCAATTTTCTCGTACAGGTTGACAAACAATTGTCTACAGTTATATCGTACATATACGAACTGTCCTTTCATAGGCATTTACTAGCGGTGACATCTCTCTCTGTTTATTGTAAAGCTCGTTATCTGATGGTCATCCATCACGAAAAAACAAATTACCATCACTGGTCATTCTCATTTAATCTCATCAAAAGAATGCAGCAGTATGATGATTTTCGAAAATCCATTCGAAATTTTATATCTTCAAATCCATCATCATTCCAGGTTATTATGGCACGGCCGGTTCTGGCCGGTTAGGTTCGTTTTCCGACCATTTCCTTGCCGCCGGATTTCTGCGGCAAGGAGCCTGCTGGAATTGGCGAAAGCTGTGCCGGAATGATCGACCTGGGATCATCAACCGATATAGTCGCTTTTCTTGATCAACTGGAGAATCAGGTATTCGACATTTGCTCGGCTTCAGCTTCGGAAATAAATGAATGGCGTTCAAAACTCGATGGGAAAAAATAATGATATGATTGAAACGTTGAAAGAACGCAATAACATCTTCAGTGAATTGAGTAAAACAAAACAGTCCATCATCAAATGTTACAATATGTCGATGAAAGCTGCATCATGTACAATTGCGCGTGCAATCATCGAAATGACTGTGCATGAACATCCCAGATCAACAAATCCGATGCTGGATCCGACCATCTGACAAAATCCGATCGGATTCCTGGAAACGGAATTGCATTGGAGTCCGACTAGAAAAATCCCGTCGGTTATTCCAAATTTTTATGAGCGATCCTTTTAGCTATATTCTATGATGACCCTTAGAAAATCCAGGAATCCATGTTTCGGATCCGATGGGATCCGAGTATGGGGTTGTTCGACCTGGGCAGCTAAAATAGAAGATATCAAAGTAAGTGTCGTAAGATAGAATGGTCTAGAACGCTTTTAATCAAATTAATATTGAGAATTCTTTTTCTCACTATAGGCATCACTCATGAATCTGTATCGTACATTGTCGGCAATGATTCACAATTCTACAGTTCCATATGAAGATGATAAATTACCGATTCTAGATATTGTTGATGGTCAATTCACTCGCCAGGTTATCATGGCACGGTCGGTTAAGTTCGTTTTCCGACTATTTCCTTCTCGCCGGAAGTTCAAACGTAGGTTCCAGTCATTTACTGACCGTTTCCTGCAAACTTCGAGCAGGAAACGATCAGGAATAGGCATGCACCAATACCAAAACTAGTTTTGACATTTTTGGTATTGAAGTCTTGGTTTTGATGTGGTTTTGATTTCAGTACTTTAGTATTGATTGGGTTGTGGTTTTGGGTTTGAAAGTTTTGATTTTAGTTTTGGTTTTGGTTGTTGAAAACAGTCTTATTCGATTTATCTTGCAAAACGAGCGAAAGTATTGAAATCCCATCAAGACCAAAACCATATCAAAACCAATACCAAAACTGCCAAAACCTTATCAAAACCTATACTGCAAAACCAAAACTAAATCAAAACCAAATCCTCAAAACCCAAGAGGTTTGGTATTGGCGCATGTCTAGCCAGGAACTGCTCGGATATTTTCTGTGCAATCCCGGTCGGAATCCGGCGGCAAGGAACCTGCTGGAATCGGCGAAAACTATGCCGGAATCGAGAAGAGTTGTACCGGAACCGACTCAGATTTCAACGGATCCAGTCTCCGGAATGATCGATCTGGGTCGTTCTGATGCCTTGGCTCTGGGTAAATTACAATCTTTCTCTTTCTCATTTTCCTTTTCTTTTTATGATCTAGCTTCATTTTATAAACTGACATTGCCAAATATTGAATTTGAATTCGTCACAAACATTGTCCATTACTCTGCTGATTCAACAGATCTATTTAATCGAATGGATTTAAACAATAGTTTGAACATGTCCACTACTATGAGGAATGAATCAAACGAACAGTCCCTCAAACGAAAATTATTTCATGAAAATCAAGAAAATGAAATTCAGCTGATCTCAACTTCGAACATTTGATTAATGTTCACACTGCTTCAACGTTCAGTCTTCCAAATAACTTCGGTCGATATTTTCCTTTGGTATCAATTATTTTTTGATCATTTGATTGAATAAATAAACAACATAATTCTTAATTTGTATTATCGTCATTTATTTTGTGGATATTGAATTTGACTGCAAAGGTTGGATCATTTCATGTACTGTGATCGATGATAAAGTCGGTTATTTTTGTCACTAGTGAAAGAGTTTTATTTTCTTATGAAAAAAACGTCGATGTTATTGACAAGAAACAAAAGAAATACTGAAAGTGACGACTGAAAAAGTTCTTCTTGTTTGATTATTGAATCAGTGGAAGAAAATCACAATGAAACGTTGGTTATTCAGCCAATTCCTAAAGAGAGAGATAGAAAATAGATTCGTCTATAAAAGAAGATAGTTTTTGTTTTACCATAATGGCATTGACAATATCATTGTTGCATTTTCTTAAAGCTTTAATCGCTTTTGATCTTGAGGCTTTGGATTGTGACATAACTAGTTGAATATCGTTTTCTTCAATACCTTGTGAATCCACTTGTTCATCTTCATCAGATTCTTCTTGAATCGTTTCTGCTTTCGCACTTGATTGATTAGCATTTTTATCACTTGAGCCTTTTTCATTCGATTGTGATGTTTGATCAGTGGTGTTATTTGCTGTTGGATTTTGTCCAAGATTTTTAAATTGATTGGCAGCAGCAATTTGAGCTCGTTGAGAAAGATCTTCAATTTTGGCTTCACCAAAAACGATGTAAGTGTCAGATGCTGGACTCTTGTAAACATCTGGTTTTTGTATAACAAATAAAATATTTTTGGATTTTCTAATTGTGACACGAAGAATTCCTTGAATNTAAATCATGAAGAAAACAAATCAGTCGGCAGTCATTGTTTAACCTTCACAGATCAATTTATCAAATGACTCTACAATAAACACTTTTTACAGTTTTTTCTTCCCAACCATTTTGTTTGTAAATTATCCTCCGAAGATTTTTTTCGAAATGTTTATTTGAGAACAATTTTTTATTTGAATTTTCAAAAAATAAACTTATTCTGAAAAGAAATTGATTTTATATCAGATAAAGTGACACCTATCGTCATCACACTATTTTTATTTAAGAGAAACACAAGTTCTTTTCATACTTTTTTTTCTCATTTTCCAAGAAATATTTGTTTTATTTCATAGTTTTTTTTTTTCATGCAAATAGAAAAGCAACAACAGACATGTTCAAGAGCAATGGTTCATTTTGTATTATCCATCGAACATCAAAATACCCGAAGAAAGAAAGGCTTTCTCTTCGAGATAATTCTTTCGAATAATTCGTACTACGACTTTAAAGCTTTCGTTTTATTTATTGAATAGGAAATGAGCTTTATATTCCATTTTCTTATCGTTCTATCATACACAGTACAGTATTTCTCATCAGAATCAGAACATCATTTTACTACGCCATCTATCGATAAAAATACACAAGTTTTTTTATGAATATTGGAAATATTTGCTTTAATCTCGTAGATCAAAATGAAATCAAGATATTTATCTTTTACGATGTAGAAATTCTGTTTGATACTGTTATGGTTTAATCATCACAATTTAACCGAGTGGAGAGAGAGAAAGTTCTGTTTGAAAATAGTTATCTTGAAAAATTGACGGATCTTGGGTAGAAAAACAAAGAAAGAATAGAGATTAGTATGAGATTATAGATTTAAAAGATACTTTTGTAAATTGTTCTTGGTTTTCATAAGTTATTTTCACGTTGAATTCGAGGAAAAAAAAGAAAAAGAGTTTGTTTTCGTAATGAAAATTGTTAAGAGAAAAGAAATTTGGATATTTAAGAAGTAAATATTGAAAAAAAGGTGTTATTTAATGTCGTATGATGATGATATAAATGGTTGATCTATTCAATAATTATATGTATTGATGTTTAAACATATTTGTTCGTGTTATGTAAACGAACATGTCGTTGTCATTAAGAGAGACACATAAATGTCTATGAAAAAAGATTTTTTTTTCTTTACGCAAGATACATCGTTAATCAACAAATTCAATCTACTTTTCTGTCGATTTTCAATCTGTCACCATCTTTTTTGCTTACGATGATGATTATAATGATGATGATGATGATTACACAAGATGTGCAAGTGCCAGTTGACGATTTTTTTTTCTTCAATAGTTTAGTTTTGTGTCTCATTTCTTCCGTTTGAAGTAGGTTGTAGCCAAAAGGAAAGAGATATTTGTGTGGATGTCAGTTGCTCCATTGAACAATGTCAATAAGAAGAAATGAACAAATGACTTGTTCTCTTATTTCGTTCAGATTCTTTTTTACTTCTTTTCGTTTTCGATATATGATTATAAAGAGGAAAAAAGACGTGAAAGATGATCTTTCGACAAGTGTTCTTATTCAAAGACAAACAAATTCATCAATATTGATATAAAATCAAACAACTTATGAAAAAAAACAAAATTTTAACAAAAAAAGACGAAGATAAAGAAAAAGACAAAAGTTTAATAATAATAAAATGTTCTTGATGAAATTTGTCCTGTAAAAGGATCTTGATAAACATTAATAAATGGTCGATATGAATAATGTGAATGAGGAATATAAAATGATTTTGGATTTGATGTAAAAGTTGTTTTTATTGGATAAATTCGTGTTGGAGATGGACAATTGACAGATTGAACAGTTATTTTCTGATCTTGATCATGTTTAACAAGAATCTTTTTTGGAATTAAATCAATTTGTTGTGATTGATTCTTTTGAGAAATATTTTGACAAAATTTTTTTCCAATAAAATTTGCAAATGAATAAATAATTAACATAAGAAATATAAATGAAGAAATAATTCCAATTAAAAATATTTGAGAATTTTCAAATGATTTTCTTTCATTTTTCTTTTCAGTAAATAATTTAACAATAAATGGATTAAGAATTTCTTCATCGACAATTTTTGTTAAATTTTCATTCAATGATAAACATGAATAATTAATTGTTAAATATTGTCCATAATAATCATTGGAATTTGCACAAGATTTATAAATTTTTAAACAAGTTTTATTAATCCAACATGAATTTTGTTCATCACAATGTAAACTAAAATATTTTGTTATTCGTCGTGAACATTTTGTTCGTTTTTGACAACAAGAATAAGGTGATAAACATGATGAATCAGAATTAAAATAAATTTCAATTAAATTCAAATGAATTTTTTCATTTAAACCACATGATAAATAAATTCGTTCATTTCCATTTAATGAACAACATGTATCAAGAAAATATTCACTTGAATAGATTTCATTTAGAAAACAAATTTTATCTTAATAACATCGAATCTTTATTTGAAATAAACATTGAGTTATTTTGAAAATCTGAAAGAAAGTTAATAGAAAATGAAACGAAATTAGAAATGTGTTTCGACTCGTGTCTTCTTATTCTCTCAAGCGATGGTCTAATATGGTTGAACTAAATAGAAAGAGAGAAAGTTGTATAATACATAAGCACCCCTATCGTCATTTTTCATTTTATTCTTTTCTTCTTCTTCTTCTTTCTCACACGTTCGTTTTTTTCTCTCTTTACATTTTATTCAAATACAAAAGAAACGAAAAGAAAGAAAAGTAAATGACAAAATGAATAATTAAACAAGAAAAAAGATTAAATAGATCAAAATAAAATCTCGTCTTCTTCGTCTTCTTTTTTTTTCAATTAAATGCAAATGATGAAAATCAATAAAGCAGAAAATCTGTAAAAATGATTTCGAATGAGAAAATTTGTTCAATTTTCAATCACTTGATTATTTATTCAAATAGAAATTTCAATCGAAGTGTCATTTATTGAAGATATTTTGTTCCAATTAAAGATTTTTCTGTTGAAATTTGTTCAGTTTTTTGATAAATATGTAAATTAGGTGAATAATCTTGTAAAGAACGATATTTTAAATGTAAAGGATCTTTTTGTTCAGATGAAATGAAAATTGGTATTGATGATTTAACATTTGGTTTAATTGTTGATGCTTTTTTCATGAAAGAATATTTTTTTGAAATATCAAATTTTTCAAGAGATTTGTGATTAAATAAAGGATTTGATGAAATTGGACTTGGTGTTTCATGTAAATATAATCTTTGATATTTATTTGATTGATATTTTCTTTGAAAATCTTTTAAATTTGTAAAATAATAAGGCGATGAATAATTTGAATATCGATTTAAAAGATTTGCTAAATCATCAAAATATTGATCATCAGTTAAAATTTTCTTTTCAATTTCATTCGAATATTTTTCTTGAAATTTTATTTGATTTTCATTAATCATTTTAATTAAATCTTCATCAGACAATTTGGAAGAATTTTGAATAAAACGTCGAAGAGCAAGAACTTTTAATTGTTGATTTAATTGATTTCGGGATAAAACTTGTGGTGATAATTGACTTCTTGTTTGAATTTGAAGACAATCTGTACAAATCTCAGGACCAAGAACTGAACATGTTTCTCTTTCAATTGCATTCGAATTTGATGAAAATGAACGTTGACAACGTTGATCATTGTTTGTACTTGTAGTTGTAAATGAAGTTCGACGAGAAGAAACATTTTCTTTGAGATCTTTTAATAAAACAGTTGTTGTTAATGAATGAGAACTAGTCGAAAGAAAATCTTCGGAATTTGTATTTGTTTTAGATGATTTAGCAGAATTCGGATGTTGAACAAGCAGAGTTTTGTTCTACAATATCAAAATCAGTTCATTTCCCGAAACACATTCGAAATGAGATTTAATAAACCTTTTTTTCTGCGATTCCTTTTGGATTTCTGACAGATTTGAATTTGTTGAAATACCATCGAGAATTGATTTCCGAAGTTTCTTTCGTCATTATTTGAAGAAAAGTGCGAATGTTGTTCTTTTAAATGCAATTAACTCCAAGTATTTTCGTTCTTTTCTTCACATTTATTTTCATTCGTTTAAAAAAGGAAGAAGAAAAAACATTCGTTTCGAATTTTACAAATCGAAATATCGATTTCTCTTCAAGGTGAATTAGAATTTATTCATTTTTACAAATTCAAATAACAAATCATTGTAAAAGAAAATTCTCCTCAGTTCAATTTGAGATGCATCAATTTGTAATGCATTTGTATCATAAATCACTTTCAAAATGAGCTGGGTTAGACAAAGTCATCATCGGAGAANTTTTGTTCCAATTAAAGATTTTTCTGTTGAAATTTGTTCAGTTTTTTGATAAATATGTAAATTAGGTGAATAATCTTGTAAAGAACGATATTTTAAATGTAAAGGTTGATGATTTGACATTTGGTTTTATTGTTGATGTTCGTTTCATAAAAGAATAGTTTTTTGAAATATCAAATTTTTCCACCGATTTGTGATCTTTGAAAATCATTTAAATTTCGAAAATAATATGGACACGGTTGATCTGCATAGCGATTTAATAACGAAGATAAATGATGAAAATATTCTTTATCAGTTAAAATCGAATTGGTCATTTGAGAAGATTCTCTGGAAAAAGGTTGGGGAGAGAGATTCGTTCGAGTTGGAATTTCAATACAATCAGAACAGATCTGTGGAACTAGAAGTGAACACGTTTCTTTGTCGATCGTATTCGAACTTTGAGAGGGTTTCTCCAGAGATTTTCTCGAAAGATACAAAGTTTCGATTTGTCCGAATGATTCTCTTTGCAATTGTTGATCGAAGTTTTCATTCTTTGGAAATCTTCAAGAAAGAAAAGAATCTCAATGAAAGACTCGTCATTAAATGAACTTGTTTGGAAAAAAAGACTATCGAAGTTGTTCTGGAAAGTTCGAGGATTTCTTGTCAGTTGACAATTTTTCGATGCATTGATTTCATTTCGTTTGAAAATGAGATGGATTAGATCAAATAGGAAATTACTGATGCATAGCGATCGATGTTGGATTGAATACGAAGAGGGAAAGAAAAAAGATTTAATTGTTTCTTTGTAGAAAAATGTTTTCGAATGAGATTGGCAAAAAGTACTTGTAAATCAATTTCATCCCTTTCCAAATAACAAACAAGTTGAATTTGTTTGAAATAATTCACTTAAAATGCAAAGAATTGAAACCGGACGACATTCATTCTTCAGAAACGAACGTCTTGGTCCTTCGGTATCACATTTCGTGCTTTTCAAAAGAATAAATCGTTAATTGACGAATGGAAACCAAATCGCTGAAGTCAATTGATTAAAAGATGCGATTTAATCCATAAGATCGAAGAAAATAATCGGATTCTTTCAAATTTCGACAATTTTCCAAGTAATTTGAAGATTCAAACATCCGATAATACAGAGACGAAGTTTTTCTGGTTTAGTTGAACAAGTTTCATCAGAACTAAACGAGAGAACCAAATCATTTTTCTTCTTGGGAAAAGACAACTTTTATCTGGAAACTTGATAATTCATATTCACATGACATTTTTCGATGTCTGACAACACTTCTCTTAATACCTCCTTTAGGATGGTATGTGTACAAGTGTCTCAACTTTTTTCGAGGTTAGTCAACAAATGGCTTATTTGCCTGAATAACTTCAATGTAGTCCAGTTCTCTGCCAACAACCAAGAAGACTTTTATTTCTAAAAGTAACCAAAAGACATGAAGACGACAAGACATGGAGAGAAAGACGAAGACGACGACGAGGGACACAGACAAATAGGCAGAGATCGACGCGACGAGGAATTCTATAATAGAGGTGATAAATATCTAGTAAAGAAAAAGCAGAATACTTACAAAGTTTTATAAAATTGATGACTGCATCACGAATCTCTCGAATCTAGAAACAGTTGAGTGAGATTGTATTCAAGTAGAACAATCACATGCTTACGCTGCTGATTTTGTTTATCACATAACACCGTTCTAGGTTTACGTTTCCTGAAGCAGCAGTTCCAACAATTTGCGTCATAATCATGTTCAATTCCTGAAAAAGTAGACAACATCAACAATGGAAAAGGAAAAAGAAATTGACTCACCGTTTGAAGATTGATTTTCTGCAAGAGACTGGTTACCACGCTTTGAATCTCTGGAGAATTCAACGATTGATTCGTTGCACGAATCTCGACATATCCACTGATAAACTTTTGTGCGGCATCACGTTCACCACGATTCTAGAAGAAACATATTGTGCAGAAGAAGAACAAATCAAGAAAAATGACCTCGTCTGGGATTGCCATAATGAATGAACAGAAGCGGAGTGAGAAACGAGCTGCTTACTGACTTTTGTCTGACGAAGGAGAAGGAACTCATGCAGAAGAAAATAATATGGCCAGAAAAGGAAGGATTGATGAAGGGGTCAACCAATCGAAATGATTATGAGAAGAAACTTACGGCCATTGGATCGAAGTTATGAAAAGACAGAAAGACGAAACGTGTGTTCACAATAATATCTATAAATAGAAACAAACACAAAGAGTATAAAGCCAATTGATCGATCAGCGGTCAAAGAAAAAAAATTTAACGATTAAAATGAACACCGAATAATCTCCACTTGTGTGTGATGATATCGATGAAGCAAATGAAACTTTTCTTTTCCTTGAACGAACTAAACAAAAAAGAAGACGCAAAATCGATGATCAACTTCTCAGTTGAAAATGCAAACCGTCATCGAATGAAACGAACGATCAGTTGCTTTCTCTCTAGAAAAATGTCCAAACGAGCGAGTGATGTCGGCATCATCGAATTCACAACTATCGAGAAGAAAAAAGAATGAAAGCAGTCCGACGGACTTCGACTATGAAACTCTCTCTTTCTTATTCGATCTTTCCGGACGATACGAAGAGGAATGGACTGAAATCAAGATTATTCATCGAACCAAAGATATTGATGACCTTCTTTTCTTTTTCTTCCTTTTTGTCTTTCTTTTCATATCAATAAACTGTTATAGTCCTCGATCAGATTCGTTTCTTTACTTCGAAAATATACCACAAAGACGAAATACACGTACACGTGAAACCCGACACGGACAGTGCACAAAATACACACTCAGCCTCACACGACGAGAGTGACGACGACTATAAGAAGACCTGCCGGAAAACATGTCTATATAAACGTACAAGGAGAAGGAAAAGGACGAAAAAAAAAGAAAAAAACGAAGATAAGTATAATCTCGTGCGAATGCATGGATCATCGCATAAATAAGGAAAGAGAAGAACATTTGAATCTACGACTGGACCATCGACTTTTTTCCGTATTGCCGGAAAACATTTTCATTGATATCAAGCGAGAATAATCCAGCGAATTCGCTGCACCATCGGTCAAATCAATCAAAATGATTTTCAAACGAACAATTCTGATGAAAAAGCGAAGAATATTTAGAGATGTTCTACGCTCAGTGACCATCGTCGAATTCATTGGCTTCAAGTTCAACCATTGACTGTACAATGAATGTTAATCGTTGTTGCTAGTATCGCTAAGCTATTTGAAAAATAATAAATTAGAATTCACTCTAATTCATGCATTCGATCTTATCTTTTCAAACTCAATCTTTTGCAAAATTTCTAACTTTGTCTGCCCTTGTAGATAAAACGAATCAACAACACGCTTCTTCGAAGTCTTCTTCATGGAGCTGATCGTTACGCTAAATGATTCTCGGTAAAACCATCACCTTCCTCGTTCATTGCCTTCGTTCCTCCTTTACAGACCAATCCATCAGTGACTCTAAAGCAGACGTGCCTCAATGTCTCCAAGACTGGCGCCACTGCCATCAAGAGTGGTTTGCATGTGGCCTTGGAAGACTGCAGTCTATCCACGTGTACGGTCCGTGTCTGGATTGACGCCGACCGTCGATTACAAACCTCACAGAACAATGGCACCGCCTACTTTCTCGAACATATGACTTTCAAAGTAATCACGACGATGGTTGATTCTCCACGACAGCGAGGTGGAACATCTCTCTTCAGGACATAAACCATCGAAAATCGCGGTGCACACCTGAACGCCTACACATCACGCGAACAAACGGTCTCCTATACCAAATGATGCAGCAAAGATTCACCAAAAAGTAAATCCTTGTTTTTGATCGACACGAATGATTTGTCTCTCGTATGCGACGACTAGTCATGAAAATCTGATCAGCTATTGTTCAAAACAATTCATTCCATGAAGAATACGTCGAACGCGAACTTCATGCCATTCCACATAAATTGCAAGAAGCAAAGAATAACTCTCAAGAAGTTGTCTTCGATCATTTACACGTCACTGCCTATCAATGTAAACCTCTCGCTTGTATTATCATGGATCCAACCGATAACGTCAAGTAAAATCCTCTCCAGCAGCTTTTCTCGCTATGATTTCCTTGATGTTCATAGAGCGACTCACACGGCAAATCTATCGAAATTCGCTGGAACAGATTACAAGGCTTCACACTGATATAATCATTGGAATTTGCACAAGATTTATAAATTTTTAAACAAGTTTTATTAATCCAACATGAATTTTGTTCATCACAATGTAAACTGAAATATTTTGTTATTCGACGTGAACATTTTGTTCGTTTTTGACAACAAGAATAAGGTGATAAACATGATGAATCAGAATTAAAATAAATTTCAATTAAATTCAAATGAATTTTATCATTTAAACCACATGATAAATAAATTCGTTCATTTCCATTTAATGAACAACATGTATCAAGAAAATATTNAATGAAAACAGTCAGACGGACCTCGACTGTGAAACACACTCTCTCTTTCTTATTCGATCTTCCCAGACGACATGACGAGGAATGGATTGAACCGAGATTAGTCCTCGAACCAAAGACATTCAATAACGTTCGTTTCTTCACATATATTTTCATTCGTTTAAAAAACGAAGAAGAAAAAACATTCGTTTCGAATTTTACAAATCGAAATATCGATTTCTCTTCAAGGTGAATTAGAATTTATTCATTTTTACAAATTCAAATAACAAATCATAAAAAGAAAATTCTCCTCAGTTCAATTTGAGATGCATCAATGTGTAATGCATTTGTATCATAAATCACTTTCAAAATGAGCTGGGTTAGACAAAATCATCATCGGAGAATCTTTTCGAGATCAATTCACATTTACAAATGATTTTTGTTTCTTTGTTTATTTTGTGTTTGAATCTTCTTCGTGAAGGTCAATTGATTTTCATTGGTTAAAAAAATTCGATTTGAACATTTCCACATCGAGTTGAATGGAAATTTTCAATTTGAATAAAATATTTTTTCTTTATTAAAACAGATTTTTCAATCATTCGAGATAAAATTCCTTGAAGGTTAACTTCATCTCGTTCAAAATAACATCCAATCGAAATTTCCTTCAGATTTCTCAGTGAACTTTTCAATAATTCATGTAAAATATCAGTAATGGACACTGGCCGAGATTTGTGATGACAACGATTCGATAAATATGAACGTTGTGGTCCTTCATTTTCACTTTTCGTTGTTTTTAATATTAAATATTCCAACTGAACAAACGATTGAAGAATATTGTCGAGAAATTGCCTTTGAAATGAATAAACAACTAAACGTTTGATTTTGTAGAAATAACTTGAACTGATTTGTTCGAAAACAATATTTAAAAGTGATTGATGAAGAATTAATTCGGTTAAATTTGGTAATAAACAAAGAAATAAAATTTGATTTCGACATGTCAAATCAAATTCAAGTTTTCGAACTGAATGAAGAAAATAACGATGTTGACGAAATAATGGAGGTGGATGAAGATATTCAGCTGTTGATGAAGAAAAACGAATTGATTTTAATGAAGAAAACGATTTTCGAAGGAGATCTAAGAATTCAATGGTAATATGACACGATAAATCAAGATGACGAACGAATTTCATTGATAATAAATTGAGATTTGAATGAGACAAATTCGTTTGTATCGATGTAAAAAAATTTTGATCAATACATTGATCAAGACGATGAAATTGATATGGTAAAGTAAATAAATAATGCATATCTGTTTGAACATTTCGATAGAAAACCAATATCCAATGCAATTCTCAAAAATCTTTAATCGATTCAATAAAATATTCTTCATAAGATTAAAGAAAATAATCGAATTCTTTGAAATTTCGACAATTTTCCAATAGATTTGAAGATTGATACATCTAGTTATATAAAGACGAAGTTTTTCCAAACATTTCATTTCTTTGATTTATATTTTATTTTTCTTGGGAAAAGATAACTTTTATTTGAAAACTTGATATTGATATTTACATGACATTTTTAGGATGCGAAACATCTATTTTGTATCGCGTCGCGAGTTTTCTTTTTCTACTATATGCGTCCGCATGCAAGTTGGTTATTTTGTGTCGCGATAATCTTGAGAACTACGACTCAGAAAATTATGCTTATAGCGTCATATGTAAACGTCAAGACTCAATTTATAGCGTTCGAAATTCGTTTTTCGATAGAGATCTCCGTCTCATTGAGAAAAAGGAATTCATATTGTTTTTTGATTAAAGTGTATATTCATCTGTGAACAAATGATTTTTACTAAACTCATTGATTTGTTCGTTGTTTTATATTCATCGGACTAATTATTAATTGATTCCAAAACAGATATTCGATAATTTTCAAATCTATCATTTGTCACTAAATTCCTACTTTCTATTTCGTTGCTTAGCTATTTCAGAGATCGAAGAGATCATGGATTTTTCTTGAAAGAATATATCGGAAATAATTTCGACAAAAAAGAGATTTACCTTTGAAATTGATGTGAACATATGAATTCATTTCAATGGATAGATGTCACCAAAAATAGACTGAACTTCGAACGAATCAAGAGAAACGCAATGGCTCACGCAGAAGAATGGCCGATCTGTCGTTCCATACCTTTTTCCTTTCCAGTCAAATCAGATGTGAATTGTTCGAGAAGAAAAACGTAACTTGATATTCTTCCTCTCTGATTACTCGAACACATTCGAGACATTCACATGTATCATCACATGTTACCATTCGTGTATCACTTGATTTTCAGCATTTCTGAAGAGAGACAAACGAAAAGACCTGCGATATCAGTCAAAACAAAGCACTGGACTTTTTCAAACAGAGATCTTCCCTACTTTGTTTTCGAATTGATCTTATGGAAAGAGCTGATATCTATATACATTTGTATGATATGAACAAATAACAAACACAAATTCAATGAATGATTTGATATAGATCTGTCAAGGTCTAGTTCGAAGTCATTGTTACACGATGTTGAAAAAGAAGAAGAATCTCGATCTTAAGGGTGTATGTTATGGACAAAACAAGTAGACATCGTTTGAACAGAAATGATTAAATGAAAAAAGAAAAGTTTGGAAACGAACAATGTTTAAGAGAAAATTTTTTCTCCTGAAACGAAACTGTTTGTTACACTTCTGTTGATTAGTGTCTTTGATTGAAACGATGAAGTGAGGATCGACTCAATTTCTCATTCTTGGCTTCAAGTGTACGTACGACCACGCTCTCATTGTTTTATTATCTTTCGTATGATTGCAAGATAAAGAGAAGATGCGTCTGTCTCTAAGTTACCTCTTACGTTTCTACACTAAATCGATTTCGTTTCATTGATGAACAACAGTAGCATTACATGCCAGAGGAAAATGAAGTTGGTAACGTCGAACACATAACCAAGTAGATAAGAGCACGTGTTTATGCAATACAAGTTCGAACCCCTGTACGAGGCATTAATTTTTGGCAAAATTTTTTCCGCTTATGGTCAGACTATACGCTCGTGAGATCTTGATGAGAACGGTGCTTATTCACTCTGCTGACTCCGAATATGTGACTTTTATTTTGCGACAATACTTCTGTCAATACCTCCTCCAGGAGGGTATGTGTACAAGTGTCTCAACTTTTTTTTGAGGTTTCCACGATGATCAACAAATGGCTTATTTGACGTAATGGAAGTTAGCAGCGGATTCGAGTATATCCTGCTGACATTCGCTCCAGTACTTGGGATGAGTGTGAAACTCCTGGGATGAATAGATCTCGTCATTCTGCATCGAATGGTGTAAGATAAGTGGGGTCACCGACCGAGTACACCAGTTTTACCAGTAAATAGTAGTAATATAGTATATTTTACCAGTATATCCTGCTGATATTCGCCCCACTACTTGGGATATCTCTGAAACCTCTGGGATATATAGATCTCGTCATTCTGCATCGAATGATGTAAGACAAGTGGGGTCACCGACCCACTACACCAGTTTTACCAGTAAATAGTGGTAAAATAGTGATTTTTACCAGTATATCCTGCTGATATTCGTCCCACTACTTGGGATATCTCTGAAACCTCTGGGATATATAGATCTCGTCATTCTGCATCGAATGGTGTAAGACAAGTGGGGTCACCGACCGAGTACACCAGTTTTACCAGTAAATAGTAGTAATATAGTATATTTTACCAGTATATCCTGCTGATATTCGCCCCAGTACTTGGGAGGAGTGTGAAACTCCTGGGATGGATAGATCTCGTCATTCTGCATCGAATGATGTAAGATGCATCTGATTTATTAATTTTTGAGATACTGTCACGAAGAACAATGCTAATTAGCAGTAGATCACACACGTACAACCCCTTCTCTATCACTCATTGGTTCATTCTTGTGGGCCAATGGAAATAAAGCTATGAAAAATACGATATTTTGCCAGAAAATTTATGGAAATAAACTCATAAGAACTATCATTAATGATAGAATATTCTTGTCTGAATTATTTTACATAGTCGAGTAAAAAACTGTACATGCCTTTGTTTGGTCGATTCTCAAACAATCAACCATTGTTCTCACCTGATAGTCATACTCTATAGCTTCTTTCATTGGTCGATTTTTCCTGTTGGACAAAAAGGATGAAAATAAATGTTGCAATAAAACTTTATTTGAAAAGCTTTGTGAAAATTGACTTTCAAAGTTTTCTTGGAGCTTAAAATTAAAATTAGTTTGTTTTTTGAGAAATAATCAGAATATTGTAGTTTTATGATTCTAGGTTGGGGAGAGTTCGGTGCATGTAGCAGAAATTTATTTTCTTTTGGAAATGTATCGATCCAGAAATTATACAGTCAGGATTGTATATTTTCAGGGAGATATTGTAATTTTCTGAAAAATATTTTTATAGGATTAAAATTCCAGAGCTCTTTTAAACATTGGGCAGTATATTTTTAACATATGTAGTTCTGATGGGCAACAAAAACAGAGTCTAATTTAGTTTCTTTGCTGCTAATGTAGGGATCTAAGTCAATGTAAAACTTAGTATATGGAGAAAGGTCTATTTAAGTCTTTTGACAGCCAGGAATGTTCGCCGTTTCTATTCACTTCACTCTCCACCGTGGCGTGTAATTGAAGTAGGCGCGACACATCAGCTTGCTTTTCAGAATCATGGTTAAAGAAAATAGTTTCAGTTTACATTTAAAGTCAAAGTATTTTACTTCAAAATTTTAACTTTACTTAAAGTATATTGAAAAATTGAAAATATTTTTAGCCCGTCCTGTTTAGTTTTATAGGATTTCGGATAATAGTTTTGAACTTTAAAATTCCTTTAATTAAAGGTAAAGTTGAAAATTATTGTCAAAAACGATATAGAAATACACATGGCAAGGTGAAAAAATTTTCGCTTTTCTGCTATACTTTAAGTAAGGGTAAAGTCTCACATCTACAAGCAATTGTCAGTTTCAGTTAGCTGTGTAACCGTGAAAGTAAAGAATTCTATGCACCCTGCCAACTTATATTGATCAACTGNGATCAGCTTCATCAACCCTAAAATGACAGGTTTCTTATAAGTGATGACAAACCCTTGACTGAGGGTTGATGAAGCTGATCAATGGAAAAAAGGGTTTATCAATAGAGAATAAACCCTTGGGTTTATCAGTTTGCAACGTATAACAAACCCTTCGTGGGTTTTTGAAGAAAAAAGGGTTGATCTAGGGGGAGATCAGGTTGATGAACAAATTTTTCAGTCATAAACCCTTTTTGAGGGTTGATTAACGCCGGATTTTTTTTAGAGTGCTGGATAGAGCTCGTCGAGTTCTATTTGGAACTCGATTGGAACAGTTGGAACATGTTCCTAGACGAATCGGGAATGAAAAAAAACTCGAATCGGGTGCCATTAACTTCCTTTACGTGGAAATCCTCGAATATTCTTCGATATATGCGATGATCAAAAGGAAATATTCGTTTTAATCGATACAAATGATTTTATTTTGAATAATATTCAAATAAATAATTAATCATTCGTATAAAGTTCGATACAATTCACCTTTTTCTTATTTAAATATAAAATTTCGATCATTTGAAATGACTTTATTTTTTCTTTTGTGAAGATGTTGTCAAACAAAGGTTTTGGTTTTTCTCTTTCAATATAAATTTATATTAAAATGACATCAGTTTAATCTATTAAGACAATTTTTTTCTAATGGAGAACATCGATAATATTTATCTGATAATTAAATAAAAGATTTCTTTTATTCATTTGGAAAGTTTTGTGTAATAAAAAGTTTTTCTATTAATTATTACACAAGTAGTTAATATGAAATTTAACATGAAGACAAGAACTTAATAGTAAATGTAATCTTCGTTTTCATTGTCTATATAAATATGATGATTTGAAAATATTTATTTTTGTTATTTCTATTTGTATATAAACAGTGAAATTAATTTTGTTTTTATATTAGATAAGAACTTTAAGTATGTTTGTTCATCTTTTAATATTCTATTTTTCATTGATATCTATTTCAAATGCATCAATTAATCATGAGATGCTAATTCGACTTATATTATAAGTCGACCCCCGACAGGCTAACATCAATTCGAATATAATCAGATGTCTATGTCACTCTTACAACAAATCACTATATAGGAATAGAATTAGATTTACTTTCACTTATACATATACCCTCACACACACACACCCACCCTATTACTTTATAAGCTAATTCCTAAAATGTCAAGAAAAGACAAACACATCTCGAACTCCTCTAAATCTATTGTTTGCTTCAAATTCCACTTTCGCATTAATATTCTTCTTGCCAAATATATTTTGCAAGAGTTTAAACGGCGAAGAAGACTTTGTTTTCGTTTATATACCAAACTATGTGGCTCTTTTTCAAAAGATCCCAATTCGTATTTATGGAATACCTGATAAAACTAGCATACCGACTTTTAGTCGGTCGGCCACTCACAGCTAACTGTTTCCACGTTTCTTCTCTCACTTTTCATAATATCGTTCACTGCGATCTTCATCGAATATAACGACAGAGATACAAAAGTCCTTCGACTGTTTCGAAATTTTTCTCGAATGTATTGTATTCTAAATCATTAAGAAGCCAATAATTTGTACAACTTTGAAAAAATCAACATCAGATTCGTGCTCCTCGACCGCGAAAACCCTTTGGTCAAGTTTTATGAAAAATATTACTAACTAATAATCAATTAGATAATTAGTTAATAATTAGTCAAAACTAACATCATATTCGTCATCTCGGACCTCGATTACCCTTTCGGTTAAGTTTTATTGTGATTATCGAAAAAATCTAATTTTATGACCTTTGACCTTTGATCTTTGACCCTGACACCGACAAACATACAAACTATTTTTTTCATATGACCCTCCTTTCAGTCGAGGGAATATTCACAATTCTCTGCTTATAAAGAAAATGCAACTGTATCTATTGGAAATTCAAATTTACTTAAAGTTTTAAATCCAACAACATATCAATTAATAGGAAAATCTTTAGATAATCAAATGAATTGGAATTTATATTTTCAACAAATGTCTTATCCATGTCAACAAGGATTAGATATACCTCAATTACTTGAACTTGATTGGATATCTTATATGCCAAGTGCTTTTGTATTTGGAACAATTCAATTAATACAACTGTTTATCATGATCATAATTATGGAGCTTGGCCAACAAATCTTTTCAATTTGATTTGGGCACAATTTCATCATGTTGACAAACAACTTTCATTAGTTTTAGGTAGTTATCATATACCATTACCTGAAGATATTTATATTGGATATATTTGAATTCGTTGGAGAAATTTAAGAATTAAAACTGGAACGCTTTGTGAAGATCAATTTTATTTGAAACCATTAGAATGGCTAATTGTTGATGGAAGAAAATATTCAATTCACAATCAAATTGAAGCTTTTAATCAACAATATCAAATCGATATTGATTACAAAGCAAAAGTTAGTGATAATAATCCAGGTGGAAGAGATTTGGGTTTAAAAGTTTTCGAACAAATTTCTTTTTATCAAGTTATTCTTTATGAAAAA